TGATATTTGATATTTATTATTCTCTAACGCCATTTTGCATCAAAATCAATGCAAAAAAATAATAATAATAATCATAATAATAAGATTTGGTGTTACTAAAGTATGATCTATTTTCATGATGTTTCCCTATATAATATTAGGTAAGAGTAAATTGCAAAAATGGTCCCTGTGTTTGGTAAAATTATGTGACTTTGGTCCAAAACGATAGTTTGATGCACCACTGGTCCAAAATTGGATTTTTCCATTGTTTTTGGTCCCTCCCATTCACTTCCGTCCATATACTCCGTTACATGCAATAAAGACCGGGGTATTTTCGTCTTTCCACATACAGGGACCTTTTTTGCAACCTTATTCAAAATAAAAAGCAGAGCTACATCACTCTTCCTTCTTCAACTTCACGAGCTTCATACTCTTCCTACTCTGTGTTCACAATTTCTTAGAGATCAAAAATTAAAATGGTGATGTGTTTCTGTGGTAGGGAAGCGGTGGTTCGCACCTCCTGGACATCAGCAAACCCTGGTCGGAGGTTTCTTTCCTGCCCTCAAAAGGTAAGTGTTCGATTTTGCTATTTTACCCTCATTTTGGAAAATCACCCTCATGTTTAGGGTTTATTTTTTTATGTGAAGGGTTCCAGATGCCGATTCTTAGGATGGATTGATCCTCCCATGTGTGCACGATCTATGTTGATAATACCCGGATTATTGAGGAATATCAACAATGTAAACTATCAAGTGGCAAGATTGAAGATGTGTTTGTTTGCAAGTTGGTTACTATTTGTGGTGGTTTGGGTGCTTTTCATTTAGTAATAAGCAATTAGGGACCCCTGTAGTTGCATGTAATTTTTGGGTGTTTTTTGTCTTATGAAATTGTAACTAGGGAATGTGGTAGTTTTTGGTATTTGATAATGTAATATCAGTTTAGGGTTATTTTGGACAACTTCAGAAATTTGTAACCTTTTCAAGGATATAATGACAATGTATTGCAGTTATCACCGAATGTTAATGTATATTTGTTGTTTCAGAAAACAGTTCTTATAACCAAAAATGTGTTCCATAAACATGACAACCAACAGTTGGTATAAACCATAAACATCATTCTTCAACAATGACAAAAGGTTGACATTAGTTTCATGACCAAAAGGGCTAAAAGACCAAAATAAAACCATTACAACAAACTAGTTTTAAACCATTACATCCAAATGCACAAAAGTTGTGCTAAACCAAAAGATAAGTTTTTAAACAAAATACACTAATTCCTGCATTGACTGCTACCTCCATTCCCTCCTTGACTGCATCATGCATTCCCTCCTTGACTGCTTCCTGCATTCCCTCCTTCATTTCTTCCTGCATTCCCACCTTGACCCTTGCACGTCCTTGAGTTATGACCCCTATTGTTGCATTTCCCACACCTAACACTAACAAACTTTCTGGTAAGTTTTTCAGGTTCACCTGCACCATGATTTTGCATCTGTTTATCATATTTTTCATCTGCACTTCTCTTTCTCTTGGTGTTAGGTCTCCCAGGTTGATTGTGATGTGGTGGTGGTGTTAATTGAAATGGACAGGTACTTTTTGGCCACATGGCTCTACCCTTTATAGGGTCCACAGTGTAAGAGTAAGCTTCATTCCATGTTTGAAGCCAATACACTTTGTTAACATAAGTGTAAAGCTCCCCAACTTTGTCTCCACTATCAGCCATTTCATGTATTGTAGCTATGGCATGCCTGCATGGAATCCCATTCAATTCCCACCTTCTACATGTACATGACATATTTTTCATGTCAACCACATGCTGGTCATGCCAAGGACCATAAACTTCATACTTTGCAGTCCCATTCCATCTAGCTCTATATTGGACTGAAGCTTCCCTATTTCTCTCAAGTAACTTTGATGCTGTTGGAGTGAGTGGACCTGGAGCTTTGGACATCACTTTCTTCACATTGCAAATCCTCTTCATAAGGTACTGCCTGATGTACTCAAGACAACTTATGATGGGCTTATTCCTACCATGAATAAGCTTACTGTTGAAAACCTCACATAAATTGTTGAGCAATATATCTGATCCTGCTCTGCCTGTATTAAACAAGAAAATTATATGAACTAAACCATATACAATGAGCACTAGTAAAGCTTCACCTAAGTTAGGGAATGTAACCTGAAAAGTGGCTTCTGGCCCAATGGTGAGGGGGATTTTCTTCAACCACTCAAAAGCATCCTTATCAAACTTGTTAAGTTCATTCATGTAGTGTTCAAATTCTGGTACTTGGTTGCTATTGCACACTGCCATAAGTGATCTTTATACTCTTTTGTTTTCCATTTTTTCCTCATGTTCTCATAAATATGTCTTAGACAGAATCGATGCTCAGCCTGTGGGTATAGTTGTGCTATAGCAGGTAAGAGTCCCTGTAAAGGATTATTTCACATAATCATTGCAACAATCATATACAAATAAACTATTAGTAATACAAAAAGAAGAAAATAGTACCTTTTGTCTATCACTCATGAAAGTAAAGTTAGAATTTGAGCACAACTCTAAGTCATCTCCCAAGCATTCTAGAAACCATTTCCAGCTACTCATATTTTCAGTCTCAACAATGGCATATGCAAGTGGGTATATGCCGTTGTTTGAATCCAATCCAACTGCTGTGAGTACTTGGCCTGGAAAGGGTCCTTTCATAAAAGCACCATCTAGTCCCAGAATATCTCTTAAACCTGCTTTAAACCCTTTCTTTAATGCCCCTAAGCAAATATACACCCTTTTAAACTGCCTTGTTTCTCTAGTACTGTTAGGCTCATTAACAACCTCAAGCTTCACAGTTGTACCCACATTAGTTGCTTGTAGTTCCATAAGATAATCTCTTAACACCTCGTATTGCTTTGTGTAGTCACCACTCACTTGCTTTGTAGCTGTTGCTTTTGCTCTCTGTACTTTGTGTATGGACACACCAACTTGAAGCCTCTTCTGAACTTGCTCTTGAATGCTTCGAAGGGGTACTGTAGGGTTAGACTCGACCATGTCTAAGATTTCTGCAGATATATACTTCGCAGTGCAAGCCCTAAGTTTTCTAGTTTGAACACAAGTATGTTTGTCCAGTAAAGTTTTCACATACCAATAATCACTATCTTTTGACCGTGAAGTCTGCATTGACCAAGAACAATTTAATTTATTGCCCTTACCTACCCCACTTGCATTTACATTAGGTACATTACCTTTACACACAACCCTAAGCCTTGTTTTGTCGTTTTTCTTGAAGCCAAGATTCCTTCTAGTCTCAATGGCAAGTTTGTTGACTTTGTTCTTAATTTCCTTTTTACTTTTATACTTTTGACCCACTTGAAAAGTAACTGTATGGACTTCACCAAGAGAGCACTTCTTCTCCTTCACCATCTGTTTTAATATTGCTTTCCTTCTTTCATCATCACTATCTTCACTTAATGAGTCCCATTCATCATTATCAATTACTTCAACATCTTCAACATCTTCTGTATCAACAACTTCATTTTCAGTCTCAACACCTTTTCCTCTGTCAACATATTCAACATCTAGATCAACATTCATATAGAAATAACTCATGTCCACCTCAATATCACTTACATAGTTTTCTTCATCTTCAAGAAAATCACTGTCTTCCTCACTCCCTTCACTACCCCCTTCACTACCCCCTTCACTACCTCCTTCACCAAGTCCATCACAAACTCCCTCACTTTCAAATTGAACTTCCCCTAGTCCTGTGCCAAGTTCTGCACCAACACCCATACTCTGATCATTACCATCATTAAAAGTATATTGATCAAAGAAAGGATCAAAGTCTTCAAATTGAAATGGTTGGTCATCAAAGGTATCAAACTCTCTTGTATTTACTTCTTGGTCACCAACATTTGCACCTTGATCATGAACTTCTGTATCTTGATTACCAACAGCTGCACCTTGATCACTAACATTTGCTCCTTCATTACCAATTTCAACATGTGTATCTTGACCACTAACAGTTGCACCTTGCTCACTAATATTTGCACCTTCATTACCAATTTCAACATGTGCATCTTGATCACCAACAGTTGCAGTGTGTTCCAAGTTGAAACACAATTTCTTACTACATGATTGACTCCCATCAACTAACCTCAATCTCTTATTTGAATTGTATTCGAGTGTCTCATATCTTACTAAACACAATTCAAGATTTGGGACATCTTGATCACCAACAGTTGCAGTGGGCACATCATCTGCTATTTCCTCAATTATGACCCTAGGTTTAACTCTTGGAGACATAAAGTATGTAAGTAACTTAGTTTCATTATGTTCAATGTATACCTTGATGATCTTATGATGTTCAATGTACTGTGCAAGACTAAGTACATCAATATCATTCCCTAGAGCTCTAAGACCAAACTCCAAATCTCCATTTGGCAATTGATAGTGGTAGTAAATGACTAGTGGTACATCATAACCAAGCTTCAGCATCACCTCGTCCAACTCATGCACAGAGAACTCATCCATGTCTACCAAGTCAATGTGGTCTAATTTTCCTTCAATGTAGCTTATCCCTGGGAATTTTGTGAACCTCCCTCCATGATGGAGCTCAATAGTGAACATCGTGGGATATCCTTCTGTAAAAATCATGAACCAAACCAAAAAAACATTACTTTATATGGATTGTAAAAGATTTTTTTTTGTTTCAAAGAAATATGTAAGAAACAGAGTACGTTACCGTAAATTCGGATTGCATCAAAACACTGATTTCTTGGCCTGATTTCCCACATTTGGACCATCCTCGTGGATTCAAACTTACGATTGCGGTTGATGATCAAATGCAAGATTTCAATGAACGATTAGGGTTTTCGATCAACAAGTTGGGTTTAGTGCGTAGAGTAGAGTGAAGGGTCATTAACTGTGTATATCATTCAATATGGCGGTAATCGATGATATGGAGGTGGAAAGACGAAAATACCCCGGTCTTTATTGTATGTAACGGAGTATATGGACGGAAGTGAATGGGAGGGACCAAAAACAATGGAAAAATCCAATTTTGGACCAGTGGTGCATCAAACTATCGTTTTGGACCAAAGTCGCATAATTTTGCCAAACACAGGGACCATTTTTGCAATTTTGTCATTAGGTAAATATAACGATAGACCAATTAAACATTAACCGAAGACTATCTTGGTTGCAATAAGTTTGACGTCAAAGTCAAAAGACATCTCCATAGATATAGTGAAATAGTGAATGACATTTACTTACATGAAATGCTACGAATTTGAAAGGAGATTCTGGTTGGAAAACTCCATTATCGATTATCCATCTTTCGGGTTTGAAATCCTCAGCATCATCTTCCCATATGTAACCCATTCTTCCCATCGCATATGACATGTAATACACACCGTCCCCTTTTTTTAACTTAAAGCCATCAGGGAGATTGTCATCCATGTCTGCAACTCTCCCATCCTCACAACAAAATATACAAGAAGATATAGCATACATTATTTATTTACATATAATGTAGGTGAATTCCACCTATAAAATAAGTTTACAAAGATGTTTTAAAGTTTTTTTTTAAGCTTCTAATTTTATTAATAACAATATAGATAAAGGATACAAATATATTCGAGTTATCTATTACTAACAACAATAATTAATAATTATAACAAATTGCATTTTTGGTACTTAGTGTATGGTCCTTTTTTTTTTTTTTTGTCTTAAATCGTTTTTTTCGAATTTGGGTCATTATTTTTGGTTATTGTAACATTTTTCATTCCTTATCCAAAGTAAAAATATTCTTTTGCTGATTTTTGGTATTTAGAGTCCGGTCGATTTTTGCAATTATCGTAAATGTTTTTTTTTTTTTTTTTGGAATTCGGGTATTTTTTGAGGTTTCTGTGACATTTTTGTTTCCTGATACATGTGAAAATATTGTTTTTGGTGGCGAGTATAACTGATTTTTGTAATTTTCGTCCAAAAAATATATGTTTACTACGATCTAAAATGTTTTAACATCCAAAATTGCAAAAGTCAACTATAATCAAGGACTAAAAATGTAATTTATTTAAAAAATTACCTAATGGTTTATTTGTAACGGCACTCTAGAAAATTTATGGTCCTGAATTAACCGTGGTTGTAGAATAAGCTTGTAAAAAAAATAGCACTATGATATTGTGTTTGTCTAAAATCTCTAATTCGTGAAAACTATAAGAAACTTTGACCATTTTTAGAATAAGTTTGTTTTGTTAGCAAGTCAATTAAAATGGTAAAAAAAGTCAATCTCTTAAAATATCTTTATAATTACCAGAGGCACTGCAGGGTATAATCTCAAGGTTTCACTCAAAGCTGCATGAAGATAATACATCTTTCTGAGTACCTCATCGATTATTTTATCCATAAAATCTTCAATTGTAGACCCGTTTTCTTGATTTCCTATAATCTTTTGTATTTCTTCAACAACTTTTTCTTGCACAAGTGGATTTTTACAAAGCATGTAGAAGAACCAAGAAAGTGTATTTGCACTAGTATCTTTTCCAGCAATCAGAAAATTAAGGATTATATCCATTAGATATTCATCATTTATTCTCGGGTCCTTCTTGCTCTCAATCAGAAATCTTGAAAGTATATCCTCCTTCTCCTCATTCTTAAAATCAATAGTTTACCACAAAATTCAATTCATTGAAAAAACACAAAGTGCTTTGACTATTTTATTCGATTTAGCGACTTAATTAATAGAGATAGCATAAAACTTACATAGTGTTGATTCATTTCTAGTTGCTCTCTTTTCTTGCTTATCAAATTGAGAACAAAATTATTGATCAATTTGATGTTTTTCGAAGATTAGCTTCACAACCAATATTAAGAAATCTTTTGAGCTTCCAAAAGGGATCTACATAGTGCCAGTATATTAATGCATTAGAGTCATCAAAGGCTTTGATAAATGCACCCCCTTCTTTGCTACATCCTTCAAGGCAATTCAAATCAACTCCAAACCCAACTTTGAATATTGAATCCAAGGTGCATTGCATAAGTATGTTCTGAAAATTTTTAGACACAACACTTCAATGATCTTATAACAATTCATCCCACATGCATCAATAGAGGGTTGCATACTTACATGTATGCATAAAAGTCTTTTTAAGTTGATTAAAGTAAGAAAAATAGAGGCTTACTTGTACATCAAAAACTTCATTGGCCTTAGCAAACTCTGAAATGACTCTAACCAAATTTGATGCATTTTTTCTGAAAACTTTACAGCTGAAGTCCCTCAACACTCTTGTTGAGAACTCCAAACTTGCAAGCTTTCTCTGTTGTTTCCACTTAACACCATCAACTGCAAAAATCCCATTGCCAAATAAGTCAGTTACTATATCCTTGTTATACTCGCCTTTTGAGTAGTTTTCAAAGTTGGTTCTAAGTATGTGTTCTATATTTCGAACATCAGTAGTGTATAGTTCACTTTGATCGGGGGCAAGAAGCATGAAAGTAGGGTGTTTGAGGGCAATATCGGTAAAATAGTCATGAAGTTTATTGAAGTAGAAGAGTTGACCAAAAACAATGCCAACAATTGGGGGGTATTTTGGGTCTTTTATTGGTTTTCCGATGAAGATTTTTAGTATGAGAGCTAAAAAGGTTATGAGAACTAGTAGTAGAGTTGTAGCTAGAAAGGAGAAGATGATATGAAGAATGAACATTTTGGTTGGAATTCAGGAATAATCAGATATGATTTCATATGCAATATAAAGGGAGCTTGAATACGATTAATCTTGTTTTTTGCTTCATGAATTGTGAAGTGGGAAAATAAGAACAAGAAGAAATTTTTAATAATTTCCATAATTAAAAGAGGCAGATAAGAATATTCTTCTAGAGAGCATTTATCAAAAAGACAAACAAGTGTGGTAAGTTTCGAAGAGCATTACAAAGTGTTTAGTCTATGTTTATTATCCATAAAAACAGGGAAAGAAACAAGATACTAGTCTTGGTTTACCATTTTACCATTAATGGATGCAAGTTAATGCAATCACTCCCAACATAAATGCCAAGTTTGATTGGACTTCGATGCTCAAGATTTGAGATCGAATTAAGAACCCATCAAGAAATTAAATACATTATCTTCTTCAGACATATCTTGCATTCTTAATCAATCCTACGGGTAGGATTGGTAGAAATTGCCGACCTTTCTTGTTGTGCATTCCGCTGAGTAAATCGTTACCCAAACTCAAAAGTCATTCCAAACTTTACAAATTGCATTGAAAATCCACAATTGTACTACCCCATTCCATTGAACCCAATATTGAAAATCCACAGAAGTGAAATAGGGTTTTTCTATCTTCCCCTCCAAAAAACTTGCCTTATTTACAGATTGGAGTGCATTGAGATAGCTACTTCTCCCTGTGAAATAATTTTCTCTGGTTTCAGTTGACGATTGGCTAAAAATCAGACATGGATGGTTGAAGGGATGGAGGTAATAAGGCGATCAATTGTTATAAGGTAGGGATGAGCTTTAAAATTTAGAACCTCACCGGTTCGAAGCCAGTTTTCCTGTATTATAAGAACCGGCGGTTCCGGTTCCGGTCCCCGTTTTTCGGTTATTGTTCAAACTAGAACCGATTGAAATATTATAGATGATATGTTATCTTTCGGAGCTTATAAATGATTCAATATTTAACCAAATTATGATTTTTTACATTCTATATTGAAGTACAAACACTAAATTACATGATTAAAAAAAAGAATAAAGTTCCGACTTCATATGAGTGAATTATGCGCATTTTAAAAGCAGAACAGATTCCAAAAAAAATGTTGAAACAGAAAATATGCAACATCGATATGTTGTCTTCCAAGGTCTATAACTGATTCAATATCTAACCAAAATATGTGTTTTTTATAGTATAAAATGAAGTACAAACACCAAGTTACATGCTGGAAACAAAATCAAGTAATTCTGACGTCATATGAATAAGTTATGCACGTTTAAAAAAATGGGACAGATTCAAAAAAAAAGTTGAAATAGAAAAAATGCAGCATCGATATTCTTTCTTTCGGGGCATATGTTTGATTCAATATCTAACCAAAACATATGTTTGTACGGTCAGAAATGAATTACAAACTCCAAATTACATGTTGGAAAAAAATCAAATAATTCCGACTTCATATGAGTGAGTTATGCACATTTTAAAAAACGGAAAAATTGTCAAATCAGTTCCGGTTTTTAGAACCGAGACCGGTTTTCATAAAAATGGAGAACTGGCAACCGAACCTTGTTACCAATATCGGTTCCGGCGGTCCTAATGCTCATCCCTAGTATAAGGTATGGTTTCGATAGAAGATACCAACAAATTATGCAAATCAACTCTCTAATAAATAATATTTTTTGTTATATGTCACACTCTCGCTTAATTTGTCAAATGTTATTTTGTGATTATTTTGAATTAATTTCTTTTCCACATGTCATTTCACAGGTTTTTCTATTTTAATAAATTTTGCATAATACTTTAATATAATAATTATAAAAAATATAGTAATTAATGAATATCAATTTCATTAATAGACTTACCTTCTTATTTTGAAATTTCCAAATTGAAGTTCATTAGTTCACTTTGTTTATTTATTTAAATTTAAAAGATAAAAAAATCAATTTTAATAATTCATTATTTTTCTTATTTTTTTTATAAATCCAAAGTTCTTAAATATTTAGACATTTATATTTATATTTTTTTAATTAACTCATGTAATACACGAGTCTTATACCTAATAATGAAATACATAACTTGTACTAATATAAAGAAAAATGTTTTATTGCATTTTTTTTTTGTATTGTCCCACTAAAATATTAAGAGTCTGATCATTTGGGGAGCGTTCGACTTGTTGCTATGTACCCAAGAATTCAATATATCATTCCAACTCATGTTTTGTTTAGTATAAGTCATCAAAACCAACAAAACAAATTGAAAATATAATCACTGCTATAACTTAAAAACCAACATCAAACAACATATAAAGTAGTTGTCCTTTTGTTTTCTTCTTTACTTGACAAGAGTTCCACGTGATGACAACCTTTCTACCTATTGTTGACAGGGAATTCTTTTCCTCGTAACTATTGTTGCTAACTGGATTTGGTAAAACATATTTGTGCTTATGCCCTGTAACTCTGATCATTATTTGGTGTTGTTGTTGAAGCTTATTAAAATGATGTAATATTTTGCTGTTTTATGACCATTTTGCCCCTGGATGATCTTTTGAGCTATTAAAGATGGTCTTGATTTGCATTTTTTCCATAGTGAGTCGATGGCTTTTGTTTCTAGAGTTTTTCCTTAGTGACTGTTGTTTACGGTTGTCTTATAAACTTTGTTGTTATTCCTGGTAAAGTGTTCATAGTGTGTAGCCATTATGTGTAATTTTTCTTCCGTGCATCCTTCTATTATTTTGGTGTTTATTTTTGTTGTTTTAACCTTTACTAACTGGATATATGTGTATTTCTTCTGCTTTTGTGTTAAAGTATCATCATTATTTATTTTAGTTGATAAGGCATTGTGGAATGGAATGGGGTATGGAATATCCTAGGTGGCCTTTAATGTCGGTGGTAATGTGGGATACACAGGGGCGGTTCCTAGGTGGCCTTCAATGTCGGTGGTAATGTTGCATACACAGGGGCGGTTTAGTAGGTGTTTGTCACACCCCAAAACCAAGAACGGCGGAAACATTCTGGGGCGGAGGACGTCATGTAAGTATCACAACACAGTAAATGTAAATAAGCAAACAACATCATCAATTGCATTAAATATATAATTTTAATACAAGCGTGTTCTGTACATTATAGACACCAAAAATAACGTATATCGGGTATTCGTCCGAAGGTCGTTTAAATATTAGTTATATATCATGTGTACATATATAGTCATAAAGGTTCTCCCAGTTCATTCACTACCCTTGGATAGCAAGGGTATACTTCCATGTTCATACGTACCAGTTACATTACTAGTAAGCTACCATATGGGTAGTTTAGGAAGATACTAGAACTATTACTAGAACGCGATATCATACAATGAGTCAATACTTGCTAGATAGAGAGAACATACATTACAGCTAGTACACATAGTACATTACTATACATGCTAGATAGAGAGAACATACATTACAGCTAGTACACACAGTACATTACTATACATGCTAGATAGAGAGAACATACATTACAGCTAGTACACACAGTACATTACTATACATGCTAGATAGAGAGAACATACATTACAGCTAGTACACACAGTACATTACTATACATGCTAGATAGAGAGAACATACATTACAGCTAGCACACGCAGAACATTTCAGTTCATACAGGCTAGACAAAGAAAGATTACACTTTCAGTTAGCACATTCATTACATATACATTTATGCAGTTATGTGAACCATTGGGCGGGTCATGGCACTTCCTGCCATGACCGCTCTTGTATCCCGAATGTCCTTAATTGGGGAGCGTATGAGTTTGCGTATAGATCTATACTGGATTGACTATCCTACACCTTGTTGCTCGCTACAGTGGGACTTGTAAGTCCACGGGTGCCAAATGTCATTTCTTACAGCGTCTTACATCATCATTTTACTAGAGTCGGTAGCAGGATACAGGTCGATCACATGTTATATTGAATACCTTTTTGTTTTAAGGTAGTTAGTACATCGGTAGTCACTTATTACAAATACTACAGTACTTTCAAATTTTCAATAGACTTAAGGTAGTTAGTACGGTTGTAGTTATTTGATACTACACCATAGTACTATTTCATTTTCCCATTACATTCACTTCAAGAACATTCACACGATGCACGGTAATGTAGAAACTATATTTTTGGTTAATGATAGTCAGATTTGGGAAAATACACACTCTTACAAGAGACACACACATGGATACTAGATGCCTTGGTAGAAGGATACAGTTAGTAGGAAACATAGGGTTTTCTAGGATGTTCATTTACATACAAATACTTACAGTTCATTTACATACAAATACTTACAGTTCATTCATACAAATACTTACATTTCAAATACGTACAAGTACTTACATACAAATTAAGACACTAAAATGCTTATGATCTCACCAGCTTTAAAGCTGATACTCTCTTTCAAAATAACTTGTATCCTCAGGTCAACAGTAGACAGGTACAGATGCAAAGTTTAGAGAAGATGGAGCTCGATCAAGACTCATCTTTCATTTTGATTTATACATTAGTGTCTATTAGACATATCAAAACACTTGTATTAAAATTATATTATTAATGCAATGGATGATGTTGTTTGTTGTGATACTGTACATGATGTCCTCCGCCCCAGAACGTTTCCGTCGTTCAATGGTTTTGGGGTGTGACATAAATGTTGTGTTCGGGAAATAGAATGGGGCGAGTTGAGCTGGAGGAACCTGAGGATTGAGCACGGGGACGGGATGTAGTGGGTGGAAGCCCACAAATTACAGAAATATCCAAATTAGACCGGATGCCCCAATTTGTAGATGGAATGTTGTTGTCTAGGGTGAGTATCTTCTTGTTTCGGTTATCAATACGTAGATACTCATGACCTTCTACGGTCTAGTGAACATCCCCATTTGGCTTACGGTGGAAGAGATGCATAATCTCCATAACCTCAATGGATAACCGAGTGCGGCCCGGTATGATATCAATGGGGTTATTAGGAAGATGTTCAACT